TTTTTTTTCTTTTTGTGTTCAGAGGACCTTCGCCTTTCAGTTCCTGTTTTTGTGTTGTATGGCACACCCTTTGGTGTATCAAATAAATAAATAATGAAATAAAATAAATAAAATTGGTTTCTGAGATTTCCCCATCGAATGAATTCGAGGTCACCTCGTATACCATACATGGCGCTATTAGGTCGGAAAACGGCCTAGTTAACGCAAGGGAATCATGAAGGAAAATCAAACAACTTGTCATGACCAGCAGCGACACTGAAAGGCAGTTTTGTAAAGCTCTGGCCTGCTGTAGTCACTCTGCGCAATTGTAACAACTGAAATCTCGTCCGAATACCTCTTCCTTGTTATTTCCATCATGGCAATCTCGTCCAACCTCTATTTCCCCTACTTTTGAGGAGCCTAGTTTGCCGAAATCGGCGAATTCTCTCGCTTTCTTTACTACCAATGAATGAAAACTGGTGCTTCAAAATTTTCGTGAATCTGCCTTTCAACAAATATCGTTTACTTTTTTTTATACTGATCAGTTTAGAAGCCATCTCCTGCAAGCCGACTCCGAGGCCCTCTGCAACGACTGGATGCGAGCTCTGCAACGGACCATTTTGGCTTTACACGAAAGCGATGATGTAATGAATTTCCTAACAGCACCATGAAAAAATGCCTTTCAATGAACATTATTTGTGTTAAGGCAGCTCGCCCTAGCTCATCCGGCAAGTCGGACGGTCGTAGCGTCACTGCTCCTGCGGGTGGCTCATCTCGTGTGGGTGGTGCTCCCTCTCTAACGGTATCGGATGCTGCCACAACGTTCGAACAAATACGCAGGGTACCCGGGAATGAAAGATGTGCTGATTGTGGATCGGAACAACCCAAATGGGTTAGCATAAATCTCGGAGTGGGTAAATTTATTTTTTGACGCTCACACAACTCATTTTTGAAGAGTTTCAGGACTTTCTTAACCCCACAAAGCTGGGTATAGCGCGTTAATTTGTTTGGTTATAGGTTGTACTATGTATCGAATGTTCTGGTGTTCATCGGAGTCTTGGCGTCCAAACCTCAAAAGTTCGGTCCCTTACTATGGATTCGATAGATCCCGAGTTAAGAGACGTATTGCTCAGTCTTGGAAATTCTCAGGTACGTCTGTAGGAATCAGCTTGCCTGATTTTGTTCCTGAGACCTACTATTTTCTAGGTAAATGCAATCTATCTAGCCCACCTCCCTAAGAAAGACATTGTTCCTGCACCCGCCACTGATAATTCAAGTCGACAGGTACGGAGAGGCCTTTTTGCCGAAATTGCTTTCTATTTTTNTCGTCAAAATGCGTTGTGAAATTCGTAATTGAAAACAAGTTGTTATCTTCTGAGTTAGTGCAAGCTGGTGAAAAAAATCTTACCGGGACTCAGTTAGGGTGTACTCGTCAGCTTGGCAATGTAATCCTGCTTTGATTGTCGATTATTCTGCTCTTCACATTTTCTCCAAAGTGCGATTACTATTGGGTCGGAATAGGAGTCCTCTAAAGTACAGTCGCTGACGTATTTCACTTCTCAACTCAAGTTTCCCAATTCTCAGATACTCCAGGTATTCCCTCTATTCGAAATAGGTCAAAGTAGGCCAAAACTATGAGAAATGTGGAGGAGTTGCCTTCTTTCCACTTTCCTCTCGTTTTTACCTCCTGATTTTTCAATCATAGTCACTTTGATTTAAAGGCATAGTTCACGATAGTTTTGAGGCACCCTTTTTAAATTGAAAAGTGGAAGCGTTGATGTAGAGCAGTACATCGGTGGCGGAAAAAGCGAGGAAATCCGCGTTTTTCACGGAAAACTTGAAGTAGTGGTAGTAGAGGTTGTACGAGTTCACCATGACGGAAATGGCATGGAAGGGCTATTCAGACGAGTTTCCAATTGCTGCGATTATGCAAAGAGCTGACTACATCAAGCCAATATTGTCCGAAACTGCCTTCCACTGTCGCTATGGGTCATGACCAGTTGATTTAACTTTCCACATGAGTTGGCTTATGAGTGCGCAGCCTCTACAACGCTGTTGAAACTCGTCTGCTGGGGGTGTGGCATTCACATGATACAAGGTCTGGCCCTTTGCTGTGCCCTGTCAAGACTTATCTGGGCCTGAGACCGTCACATAAGGTAACACAAGAGGCCCCGAATTCATCCTAGGGGAAAGTCTCAGAAAACAATTTTACCGTGAACCGTGCCTTTAAAGTAAATACTAAGGCTGCGGTGATCCACGTCAAAGTGTTCTATGCGCTATAGTGATTTTGCTTCACTGGAGTCGATATCTTTTTATACTTAGTGTGGCACTTCCGGTGTGTACGTATACACTTGTGGTCTAGCTTCAAAAGAGCCTCCGATCGCGAATGTGATTTGTAAATCGAAAGAAACTCCTTTCTCATTCACGCTACGTCGAACAGATGTTAGGCGGGGAAGTTTTCGAAAACGCGACATGGGGTATGTTCTTTCCCTCAAACTTCTTCGGACAAATTTCCATAGGAATAACGTATAATATATGCACGACAGGGGGTGGGGGAGAGGAGAAGTCGTTGTGCTGGTATCACTAATGATCTGGTTTTTCAAGGAGAGGATCATGAGGTCTATGAAGGTTCCGTCGTGAAGCATCACTTTGTCTAACATACTCGGTGACAAGCTTGACTGGTCCCTAATGGTAAACCTTATGCTCCTGTTTGACTATGCTCCTCTATTTCGAGGTGAAGAAAACACCTGGGGTATCTGGGAACCAGGAGAAATTTAGTCGAGTAAAGAAGTACAAATGCACTTCGAAACTGAAGGTACCTCAGTTCTGTCTTGAAAAGCCGGAATCTCAGTGGTGCTGCTTGGCCTCAAACCTCACAACTGTTGAATGCGATCAGAGCTCCATATGTGAGGTGAAAAAACAGCACATCGCAAAGGTCACATTATTTCCTTTCGGCAAAATCTTACGATGCCTTTATGCGCAAGACTGTCACAGAGCTTGCTACAGAGATTGCGTAGGAGCTTGCTTATTTTCTGAGCTGTTCAGAATGTAAAAAACTGTTTTTTTTTTGCAACTGAACCACTGAAAACGAGAAGGAAGTTTTTTTTGGCCACCCATTCATCTAATAGTTTGAACGGCGTTAATCAAACAACAGAGCAGAACTTCACAATCTAGAAATAGTCCAGTGAAAACGTGTGTGCTCTGTAGCCTCTAATGTTTCTAATGATATCCATCCGTCTTCGTACATGCAGTTCTTTTAGAAATATACGGCGCTTACAAAAGCTACATACCTCCAATCTGTTCTAGATACGTGAAGCATGGATTAAAGCCAAGTACGTTGAACGCCGATTTGCCGTCCCTTCCAGTGACCGAGCACGAACCAACGCTATGGTCCGAAAAGAGCACCTTCTATCGAGAAATCGAGTGGGAAACGTCTCTGGAAAAAGAGGTAAAGCTCACCCATAAGCACTTTTTAATACCCCAAATCTTTGGGTTTTGTTATTCGAATCATTCCAGGTCTACGATCTAGTTCAAGTGTTGATGTCATTGATGCCGATGCTCTTTCGAATGGTGTAGTCAAAACAGGTACCTATAATGAGTCGCTTACCATAGGCTCTATATTGAACTTTTGGAATTTTTAAACTTGTACTGTTGAAATTTTTTATGATCCTCTATTTTTTCTTCTTAGCGTGATAGGTCTCATTATAGGTTCTCGGTTGAAAAGACTGTCATCTTGCGGATCCGATCCAAGCCTATCCAACTGCGATTTCGCTGGTCAGTTACTTTACTCTTCTACATATTGGATTAATAAAGATTTAAAAAAATTCCAAGATGATTCTTGTACACTTTAACTAATTGTATAATTCAACCAGAGATATATTTGCCATTTGTGGGACTTTGGTCTAGTAAGTGAATACATCAGCGGTGTTCCTTTGTGTTAGAAGAAAGAAAGTCACAGCATCTGGCGACTATGAATGTCTCCATTCGTTATAGACTCCTTCGTCTTAGACGGAAGAAGTTTTTGCGGAATGGGACTCCAAGGAGTTGAAATTTGATTTCAGCTCCTGAGAAAGAAAGGATTGCCTGTGTAGCGATAAGAGCTAAACAGGAACTCGGTTGAGCTGCACCATTTAAGAAACTCCAAGAAAATTCACGAATCGTTCTTGAGATACCAGACGATCAGCGACCTTATTCGTCTGCCGGAGCGAGAGCCTCATCTTTCCGGAGGGAAGCGAAGACGTTCTCCCTAAGACGGCAATCATTATTACTTCGCGGATGTTTTGGGGGTTCATATTGTAGGGAAATCATTGTGAAAAAGCTATCATGGTTCGCTGCCCATTTCCTCGAAAAAAAGGATCCGCTGAATTGACCATTTGAAGATTGGATGAAGCAGTTTCTGACAGTAAACATATAACTGGTTAAATAAAAGTATGAATATATTTGTAATAAGTTTGAAATATGAATGATGCTCTGACCATGTGAGTTTTAATGAATTGGTAACCCTATCGGTCCTGAAATGGTCTAGTTTCAGTGGAGTCAACAGATTGGGATATTGTGAGTGAATGCGCACGTTGTGGTGACGTACTCGGCTTGCTTCGGTCTCTTGCTGGTGGTGCAGATATCAATTCAGCTCGCAGTGGGACGACGGCATTACATATCGCTACGAAAAATGTGAGTGGTTATGCCTAACCAGTTATGAGACGATGGAATCACTTTGAATTTCAGAAAGATTAG